GACTCAATATTGAGTTCAATAATTTTAGGGCCTAAACTCTCCCATGTCCCAGCCCCCCACCCCACACACCAGGCCTTGTTACCACATAGCCTGCCATTACACACCCTCTGTTGTTAGTCACTAACAGTCCCCATTAACTACTATTCATCCCCGCAGCCTGATCGTTAGCAACTCCTTTGTCTGTCCAAGACAACAAGGTGCAGAGCTGGATGAACACAGCAGGCCAAGCAGCATCTTGCAGTTCCTACTATCTCCTTTGTCTGTCAAACTGTCTTTCTCTCTCTTTGAGCTCCATCCTATCGTTTACTCCCTACCTCACCCACCTCCCTATTTTCTGCATATAAACTGACGTTTTCCCAGCCACCATCAGTTCTGAGGAAGGGTCACCGGACCCGAAACGTTAACTCTGTCTTCTCCTTCACAGATGCTGCCAAACCTGCTGAGCTTTTCCAACAACTTTTTGTTCCTGATTTATAGCATTCGCAGTTCTTTTGGTTTTTATAAAGAAGGAGTGTTTGTATATAAAATTCCAACAGCTTTTATTAATATTAAAATGATCCCACAACATCGAATAAAGTACAGCTTATAATGTAGTTTCAACATTAAACTTCTTACCAATGAAAGGGCAAAGTTGAGAAGTGCTGTACCACTGTGGAATAGAACTGTCAATAAGGTGGTTGCAGTCGTGAACAGCAAACTCACATTTCGGCTCATCACAATCCAGAGAGACTCCAATATCTATGGAAATACAAATGTGAAAAATCAGAAGTGCTCTCAGCTGCACTCACCCCTTTGCCAAATCGATAATTACCTAGGCCCCAACAGCTGAGGGCAATACAACAAAATCAGACACGTATGGAAGTCAGAAGATATTACCCACAACACATGTAGAATGGATTAAAACAAATTTTGCTGAACGTTATTAATAGAAGTTTAAAAACCTGAAACAACATCAGCAAATGTTTTGGACAAAAAGAGTGTTTAAATCACCAATCCTGTCAATCACATAAAATTGTTTCTTCCTTCTAGATAACTGCCTTTATTCATGAAGAATTCAAGTAAGAGAAAGGCTAAAACCCATTAGAAATGTGGACCCAAAGCAGGAACTGGATTAATCTCTAGGTCAAACATGGAAGTTTTTAGGTTTGTGAAATTAGGGAATATAAACTCAAGGAATGGGAGGAGTGGACAATATGGTCCATTGAGCCTGCTCCACCATTCGATAAAATTATGGTTGATCTTGGGTTAAACTTTCCTGTTTGCTCTCCATGCCTTTTATTTCCTCAACCGCAAAAAAATCTGTTCATCTCAGTCAAAAGTAGTCTCCACAAACCTCAGGGACAGAGAATTCAAAAGTTTTACGACTCTTTTGACTGAAGAAATTTCACTTGTTCGACACCTAAATGATTGGCCCGTCATCCTGAGATTGCCCCTATATTTTTGTTTCCACTGGTCATGGAATCTATCTCTCAGCATCTAACATAAAGCGCCTTCAGAATCTTATTTCAAAGCGATCATCTCTCATTTCACTGAACTTCCCAGAGTATTTACGCTAAACAACCAAGCACTTGCCATAGGACAACCCTCAGCCTTAGGACAAACTTAGGGAAGCTTTGCTATACAGTCTCCAAGGCAAGTATATATTTTCTTAAATGTAGAGGCCAAAGCCGACCATACTGCTTCAGATTTCACCAAAACTTTTTACAATTGTAAAAGTCTTCTTTATTTCCCACTCCAATCCCCTTGCAAGAAGGGCAACAGACTTTTTGCTTTCTTGATTACTTCCTGTTCTTGCATGTTAATTTACTACATACCTTGCACAAGCACACAAGAAGTTTTGAACATAATAGTTGAAAGTTTTACACTTTTTTAATGAAATATTTTTATATCCTTTGAACCAAAGTGAGCACCTTCACACTTATACCATCTGCGCCTTTTTGCCAATCACTTAATCTGTCTATATTTCTTTACAGCTTTTATGTCCTCCCCACAGCTTACCATTCCATCTAACTTTGCAAGATCAACAAACATGGATACATTACCAATTCTTCAAATCAGTCAGTCATCCAGGCAGAATAACAAGCCCAGAGAGTACAGCTTGCTGTAGCAAAGCATCAACCTATGATAGTGAAAGTAGAAGATAGGAAACAAAAGATATGGAAACAAACAGTGTGAGAGTTTCACTGTATGATGAAAAAAGTACTCAAATAGTCTATTAGTTCAAGTCTCTCAAGATTTATCCTAGGTCTTCAAGTGCCTCATGGCCGTCAAAGCTCCTTTGTCACCTCCAGACTTGACTACTTCTGTAGTCTGTTGGCTGTTCATCTATTCTCCACATGCTATAAAATTTTGGGAGTTTATTCCAAACTGTTGGTTGAAATCCATCCAGCACCAATACCTCGGCTTTGTTCTTCACAATGCCAAGCTGGTAAAAGTTCACGTTCATCCAGGGCTATTTGTCGTACAAGCAGCACAACAACAGGAAAGAATTCAAATGTAATGGTAGTGCAAGGTACCACAGCAATCACGTGGAAGCTGATCTTATGTTTGAAGACAATGTTTCTTCCAGCGAGGATGTGAAGAATAGACAGAAGCTTTTGGAGCTATGAGTATTAATCCTCCCAAAGACACTTTTCATTCAAAAGATACAATATTCACCTTGATCATTATAGATTGACTGCAGTTTTCTTGGGTATGTCTATCTAGGCTTGCTGTTTCAATTTACAAAATTCTCCTTGTTACGCAATCAACAGAATTATCTGGATTTTTCTTATGTGCAGCTGAGAAAGGCACTCTAATATTAGTGATTTGATGCTCACATGAATTCGATTTTTTTTTATAAAAGGTATTCATTCACAGGATGTGGGCAACGCTGGGCCAGCATTTATTGCCTATCCCTAGCTGCCTTTGAGATGGTGGTGATAAGCTACTTTTTTAAACCGCTGCAGTCTATTTGCTGTAGGTAGACCCAAAATAACTTTAGGAATGGAGTTTAAAGTAGTTTAATCCAGTGACACTGAAGGAACTGCGATATATTTCCAAAACTGGATGGTGAGTGGATAAGGAAGGAACTTTCAAGTGATGACGTTTCCCATGTATCTGCTGCTCTTGTCCTTCTGGATGGTGCTGGTTGTGGATTTGGAAGGTGCTGTTTAAGCAGCCTTGAGGAATTTCTATAGTACATATTGTAGATAGAACACATTGTTGCTACTTTGCATTAGTGGTGGAGGGAGTAAATATTTGTGAATGTGATGCCAGATTGCTTTGCTCTTGGATGGTGTCAAGCTGTTTGAAAGTTGTTGCAACTGCTTTCATCACGTAGTTGAGTTTTCCATTACTTCTGATTTGTGTCTTGTAGATAACGGACAGGCTTTAGGGAGTTAGAAAGCAAGTTATTCGCGCAGCAAGGTTTTAGCTTCTAATCTGCTCTTGTAGCAAATAATCTTATGCGACTAGTCCAATTCAGTTTCTGGTCAAGGGCAAATCTCAGGATGTTGACAGCAGGAGATTCAGTGATGGTCAGATTCCCTCTTGTTGGGCATGGTCATTGCTAGGCACTTATGTTGCATGAATGTTACTTGCCACTTATCATGCCCAAATCTGAATATTGTCCTGGTCTTGCTTCATTTGGACATGGACTGCCTCAGTATCTGAGGAGTTATTAATGGCATTGAACATTGTGCAATCATTGGCGAATATCCCCACTTCTAACTTATGTTGGAGGGAAAGTCAGTGATCAATCACCTGATGATGTTTGGACCATGGACAGTCCCCTGAGGGACTGTTGCAGAAACGTCTTGGAACCGAGGTGACTGACCTCTACTCACTACAACCATCCCACCTACCTTACCATTGACACCAGTTTTGCTAGAGTTCCCTGATGTCACATGGCCACATATGGCCTTGATGTCAAGAGCAGTTATACTCAACTCACCTTGAATTCAACTCTTTTGCCCATGCCTGGGCCAAGCCTGTAATGAGGTCAGGAGCCGAGCACCCTGACAGACCCAAACTGAGCAGTGTGCAGGTAATTGCTAAGCAAGTACTGCTGGATAGCACTGTTGATGACACCTTCCATTAATGTACAATTCCTTCACTTTGCACAGTCATTATCTCTATTCAGAAGGTAAACTTTCATAGTGTACTGACGACTATTTCGTAATATTTCTGAACAGGATGTGAAAGTAAGCCAGAATGCAACTAATCAAGTACAAATAGTACATCAGAAGTAATCATGCAGGAAGTCAGTATAACTTTGAACACTGTTTAGCATGGAGAAAAGTTAGGTAGAGGGGAAAATTCCTGCTATTCTTCTAAAATACACCTTAACCCAACTTCAAGTACCATATTCTCCAGCAGTAATCTTTTCATATTACAAACACATAAATGAAAAGAGAGAACTCATCCAAAAGCAAAAGATTTTCATTTCAGCAGTTAGGGCTGGAGACAAAACCAAGTTACAGAAACGAAAATACAAAGTGCCGACTTCCTGTGCCTAGAGTGGAATCCGAGAGCTAATAGTCCCCTTAACGCGTTGTTAATCTGGTTAAGATCACTACGTAGTTCATTCTGCTCAACGTGATGCAAGATTATCTTTTCTTTCTGGATTAATTTCAATTGTCAGATGTTTCATTACAAGTCTGATCCTAAAAGTGTTTTGTGCCTAGAAATGAGTGGGGGTATAAAAAAAAACAAACTGCTGCCTCGGGATTGCTGTGACTTTTGGATTGATGCATGTCAATTACAGCCAGAAATTTTCTAGTGCTGGATATTCACTTTTAACTCCAAGAAGTTGCCTAATTGAGGTGTATACACCTTGATTGTCTGCTTCAGATCTACTATCAGTAGGGCTAGGTGCAAGTCGTAAAGCTAAGCTGTGTGGGCACTCCTCAGAATGATCACTCTGTCAGCATAAAGAAAAGGAAATGAGATAGGGAGTTCCTTGATATCAGTCCCACCACACTTGCATCAGTTTTCCACTTTGACACTGCTCATTAGAACATCCATCAGCATTATCTTTCTGCTTATCCCCTTCCCTCACTGTGCATCAGCATGAAATCCTTGTGCAACAGGTGGGGACAGAGGCCTTGTATTCTTTTTCCCTCTGCTTTGCACTGAAAATTCCCTTCTCAAATAGAAAGGAGGAAATAGGCTTTGAAAACAAATATAATGGGTTCTAAAGATTACTTTTTATCATCATAATTTTTTGTCCACATTTCACATAACCATACTGCACTCTGTGCCCGGATTGCACTTTTGATCAGAAAGTACAAATGAGGCTGGTCAAGTTAAATCGCGTCTAGTTTTCTCCAGACGGAACACACTGGAATGCTGTTTGATTGTATTAAAAACCTGCCAAAAACAGAAAGGCTATTCAACCACAGCTAATATATTTTGGAAAAAAAGAATAACCTGTCAAAGAATTCAAACTCAGAACCACGTTTAGATTCAAGTACATTAATACGTGAAGCTAATTAAAATCAATTTGTTAAGTATTTAGCCAAACATGTAACAAAAATGTTTCATCACAGGAAAACTTCATACAACTACTTCTGATCCCAACAAACGTCAATAGCAACTTTAAAATATTCAGAGGATCATAAATAGATTCAACTCAAGTTGGCACCACACAACTGCAAAAAGAACTGTGTGTCATCTTCAGGACAGATGTAACTTATTCCAGGCCAATGATACTCTGTTCCTAGGAAAATGGCTCACAAAGTATGTGCTAAAGCAGA